AGTAAAATATTATAGTATTATAAATTCAATTTCTGTATTATGAAATTTAGTGTAACAATGTGGTTACATTGTATAATAAAACTATGTACACATACATTTAGAGTATCATGTATTTTTGGTTTTATTTTGGGCATCATTATTTTTTTTATGACCACTTAGTAAAACATAGCTTCTTTGTGCTGACCATCGCTTGTAAAAAAATTTCCCATTGTTGAATGTCTATTAAACTACAAGTTTTAAGAGTTTTCATAACATTTGAAAACTTAATAGATCTTAGAAAAAGTTTTACTATAATATAAATTTACTTATTAAGATGACATTACAAATAGGATATGTTTTCATTGATGTTTTATAGTAAAATTTTATGACTGAAAATAAATGATTATAATCATTAATAATTATTAAATGGCTATTTAAAAGTACGTGTAAAAAAATAAAATAATGAATATTGTGAATATTTAAAATTATAGTATTATCACTAAAAATAATATGCATTGGCCAATTAGATGAATTCTTGTTTAAAAAAATAACTGGCGTCCACTATATCATATCCGCCCATCATACATAATAAATTGATAAAACAATAGAATTCGTTGACCATCTAAAACACTACTAAGTTTTGACGGAAATTAAATTAATAGGATTTTATTGACCTAGATATGAAGAAAATAAGTATTGACTGGATTAAAGTAAAACAAATTTGGTTCGAAATTGAGAATATTCTGATAACCCGCGTTTTGCGGTTGTGACGTCATAGAATTTGTAATGGTATTTCAAATTATTGACCATTTTTGTCACTGCGGATTCATCATATGTTTTTCTGGTGTGTTTATAGTCAGAAAAAAGTTAATTAAATTAAATATTCTTTAGAAAAACACGCCTGTTGCCTTTTTATAGCTATACACATTAGAAAAGTAAGATGAATGGTCGGCTGAAGAAGTATCATTAAACTACAATATCATGTAGTGTATATAAGACTTGAAATGTTCAACTTGAACTTAGCGTTCATATGAGGATTAAGTGGTTTTTCTTCATACTTTACTATGTTAAAACCACCGTTAAAAAAGAATCACGAGTGGAATTTTACCCAAAACCAAGCAGAAATATACTTGTGTAGTTACACACATAATACAACTATAATTATATCGTTTTGATAACGTCGCCGTGTCACGTATGAACCGCCATTCCACGTAACAATTCAAACTCAACATATTTCTTTTATCACCAGAATTATTTACTTGAAGTCTCATTCAACTAATATTTTCACAGCTTGGCAATACTCGGTATAGTTTAATATGCTTAAATAAAGATATATCCAATGAGACTACTAAATAGTCAAAAAAATAGCTGCTTCACTTAATTTCGAGCAAATTACTACAATCCTTAACTCATAACTAAATAATAATTATTATTCATTGTTACCAGGTATTTAATATTTTATTAAAACCCAATAAGATAAAAATCGGAGTATTATTTCAGAATATGGCGTAAAAAATACCATTATTTCAATATTAAATAAACAACAAACGATGTCAAACAATATAAGAACAACAGTGATTTCCCTATGGTACGTGGACGACGTTACAAGTGTGATTGAAAGATTTATATACATATATAATGATATATAAAAGGACTTTGATATATTGGCACTTTCGATTAATGTTTTTCTCGGAGATCTTGTAATGAAATTTTATTTAGCATTATCAGTACAAAACGTATCTTATCCGCTTGGATAACAAAATGTATTAGTACCAACATTTAGATGTTGTAGTAATAAATCTTAACCATAGATTAATACGGTTGTTCCTTTCAAATTACAGGCGTTAATGTCATAACAAATTGTCATTACACTGACAGTTATCATTGATATTGTCTCAAAAATTATTTCAAAAACTTCTGAAATTAATTTAGTCTAAATACTTAGAAATAAAAAAATAAACCTGTTTAAATTACACAGTATTTTGGGTTCGAAAGAACGATAGCGCTTTTTTAATTGCCACTAAATTCAACTAGATTCGATTCAAAAAAGCTATTGTACAAACATTATTATTTTTGAAATATCTGTTTAAAACTATACTTCATCAAAATCAAGCCAAGTTCTCCAATGTTGTTTTGACACAAGTATTAATATTCATATGCCCCTAATTAATAAAACTTCTATAAAATTTTACTTCGATTAAATCTCATTTTTAATTTTTATTATACGTATAAAGTTTGTTAGAAACTAATGGTATACTAAAAGTCAATCTGTTCATGTCATTATATAAACTTTTGTAATCAGATGCTCTGACGCAGACTACTTGAATTATTCGGACGTTGAATCATCAATTCGGCAGCTACGTTATCTCGATGTGGTTGAAAACATCGCTTATGTATTATGTATTTGTAAGTTTGTATAAGAAATTAACATAACTTATTATAAAAAGCTAATCGTATACAGTGAAAAAACAATGTGAATGATTTTTTACTTAAATTATGTTTGGTTTAATTAAAACTCGAGGGATAAAATCTTAATGAGGTTTTTATATTTTTTAAAGTTTTAGTTTCAGTTATTCTTTCAAAATAAATAACATTTATATCTTTTAATGAAATAACGATGTTCTTACTTTTATTCTATAAAAAAGAAACGAGATAAAAATGTACTTTGTCTAAAATACTTGTTTTAATGTGATTAATACAGTTTTTACTGACGATTCTACCCACCCACTTAAATAATATTGTTTGATAATTGCTGTAATTAATTGATAAACCTTTTGATTGAATGATTTCGTTTTTATTTTTAATTATAATTTTTTTACTCATAAATAGGCTGAGAAAAAATGGCAACAGTTATAAAAAAAACACATCATAGTAACATCAATACCTTCTTAGCTTAGCATCAAAGCTAAAGATTAATCAATTTACTCTGCTCAGTTCATATATAGTTTTAATTAAGATTATTTTATTATTACCACATTTTGAAATATATGGGATTATGATTGAATAATGACTTTATATATATATATATTTGTTCACAATCCTTCTGGAAGAGAAATTGAAAAAAACTAAGGTCGCCGCCCTTGGATACAAAAATACATTTAGTCCAACGATTATTGATAGATTCCATAATTTTGGGGTTTAATAAATTGTGTCACGATAACAGTACCACTATTTATTTGTTACATAAATAGTTAATAACATTAATTTTAATTATAATCCATTTTTCAGAAGATAATTGATTTATTAGCTTTTATATGATAAAATATAGTAAAATTCAAATTTATCAATTTATAAATTTAATTGATTTTGATACTATTATAACTAAAAGAAAAGATAAATCAAGTAATTCTATCGCCGAGAGAATTTCTTAAAATAATATAAAAAACTTAAATAGAGACGAGAATATCTAATTAAAAGAACTAAATCTTACGAATACAAATGGAATCAAAACGATTTTCTATAGAAATTACAGATAATAGATTATTACAGAGTAGAATTAACTTGAGTAGAGTATAAATATTTTTCAAAGATTATATATGATGATACCGAGTGTTTTACTGATATAAATATGTAACATAGAGAGTATTTTTTTACGTGTTTGATTGATTTAATTGAAAACTGACTTTTTCTATGATTCTTTAGCTATCACGATTTCTAAATTATTATTATAATTATTGAAATAGCTTTTAATGGCAATTGTAGAAGGTAAAAACTAGCAAAAAATTCGACATCAGCAGCCTATCGGCTGTTCTTAATCATAATGTGTTGTAACACAAAAGGAAGGTGTAGAGTAGTGTACGACAATGATGAAGAGTCTGCTGCTTGGGTATTCAGGTACGCGTGATCATACAGAGGTTGCAGTGCTCGGCTGACACTCCGGATTAGCTGTTGGTGTCGAAAGGCCGTTGATATATAAAGGGAATAGGGGTAAAACCTAGGTACAATAAAAAAAAATAAAGAACATAATAATTTTTATGTTTTCTTGTATATTATAAAAAAATTTAATCGTGTATAGGTGTTACGTGATTTAAAATTGATGAAAACTACCCACGTTTGTTTATTGAGCCAAAACTTCTGTTTAAAAATAAACGATTTTTTTATTATTTAAATAAAAATAGACAATATTACATTGAAAAAATTTGGTAAAATCTTTAAATGCATTTTCAAAATACATCCAATAAATTTTTTGTTAAATGAGTCATAGTTTTTTTTCATTAATAAAAAAATATTTTTTATTGAACAAAAATATTATTTGATACATATTGTTTAAAAATTTATTGAATTTACCTAGGAGTTTTTCAGTTTACCATTTTTTTATACTATTGACAATAGGAAATGATTGGTAGAAATATAAGTATAATATACAGGGTGTTCAGTAAGTTAGGAAACAGTTAAATTGTTACAAACAATGAGTACAATAGAAATTCGTTTCCTTATTTACTGAACACTCTGTATATAAATGTAGTAGTATAGAAGATGTTAAAACTCAAGTATATAATATGTGGTTTTAATGACATTTTATTTTAAGATTTACTAGAAAAATTATCGTTCTTTATATTTGTTGTGTAGTAAGTTTTTTATGTTACTAATGCAGACATAAATATTCATAAAAAAATGACTGAGATAACATAATTATGGAAAATGTCGTTTAAGGTTATTCTAAAATTATATTTTAATGTGCTTTGAAAGTTTTAAGAATTTATTACATTCTGACAAGTACAGAAGTTTCTATCAACCAAACCTTAGATTCAATGATAAACAATTTATGTAGATAAATATTTGGGAAATTTAAAAATACTTACATAATAACTATCCCTATAAGCTTAATTTTTAAATCAAATATACATTGTTTGGTATCTTTTTTTTTAAATAATACATCATCATAATAAATATTTTTGTGAATTTATTATATACTTTATTTTTACCTTAGATTATGAATAATTATGAATAAATACGTACATGCTTAATTATTTTAATAAAATATTAGATAAAATTAATTAATGATTATTAAAATATTTTAGGTTAAAAACCCATATAAAATTCAATTGATCATATAAAAATGAAAACTGTAACAGTTACTACATTTACAGTGCTACTAATATCTGCTGTTGTACTATCCGCACCCACTTATTCGGACTATGAAAGTAAGTATTCAAACATTATTTTAATTTATTATGAAAACTTATAGCATCATATTTTTTATACTAACAACATACAATTTGTTGCGAATAAAAAATAATATAATAATTATATTAATTGTTATATAACACTTATGTTATATTATTTTTTAGAGTGTTAAGTTATCGTTACAGGGATTTATGTTATAAAAGATTAAATAACTAGGCAATATACGATTTTAATAAAACGATATAAAAAATTATTGAGAATTTAATACAGAGAATGTAAACAGAAAAAGTAAAACTGAAATGTTGAGATGATTAAGACTTACAGTTTTCGAAAAAAAATAGTTTCCAAACCTCTTAGTTTTAGAGACATTAAATAAAACTACAACAGCAATAAGTAGTTTTATTTAACTTATATTCGCTGTTAAATAGTAAAAAGCATTTTAATGAAAGTAATGAACAAAAGTTATGTAAATAGTAATATAGCGTATCGATTAGCTTACAGTATTACAAGAAAAAATATGACCAAAGAGACCCTAAGATGAAAGACTGTTTTTAATTATACATTCTTTGATATTTATGTTTCTGGGGTTCATTTTTTATTTATTATACGGAGTGTTTCTGATTTAACTCTTTTAAATTATAACTTTTGATCTAATTATCATTTCATTGAAATTTTTTTAAAAAGTAATTATTACCTTATTAGACTTCATTCAAAGCCCATATTTTCTAAATAGTTTCTTATAATAATGAATGTTAAAATAAAATAAATTTATTTGATTTATAATAGTAATTTTTTAGATTATTTCTAACAAAAAAATTTTAATTAGTCGAAAACAATTTAGGACAAGTAATCATTGAGTTACAAGTATTTTATACTATGAGTGGGTGTATTACGCGATGTTAATATAGGCTGCACTCTCTTGTACTTCATACTAGTCAATGTATTATTATGCTTACAACTCAATGAGTACTTGCCCTAAAATTTTTTTTGACATATGTAAATTTTTTGTAATAAAAGGACTAATAATTAATATAAAAATATATCTTTTGTTAAAGTTTTTTAGTATTAGTAATAAATAAAACAAATTATGTTTTTAATGTAGTTTAAGAAAACAATTTTTTTTTTTTATTGAAGTTATAGCTTTATAAAAAGCTATAAGCTGTTAGATTAGAAACACTCTGTACGTATAGTATAAAACAAAATTGCATCGTTTTGTTAAATCAATGTTGATAAAATATTCAATTCTAAAACTATAAAACTCAAATGAGAATTATAAGCTGTTTTCAAGTTTTTACGTATAGCGATTTAACTTGTTTACAAGTCTATTTAAAAGTTCCTTATTCTTACAATTCAGTGTAATAATTTTGCCTTCATTCTGTATCACTTATAAGAATTTTCAATCGCAATTGAATCAATATTTTTATGATGGAAGTAAATTAAAAATATAAATGGAAATAATAGCTGGTTAATTGAAATAAATTCTTACTCTATTGTTATAATAGGGAAAATATACATGATTTTAAAACTCAAATACCATGATTGAATACATTATAAGACCTCAATGTACTTTTATTTTTATTTTTTTTAATCGTGAGATTGTACCCCTGACCTGAATAACTTTCTTTGCCGCACGTTTTTTGTACGCGTTTATTGTGATCTGAGATTTTTTTGAACGGCTCCTTGAACACCTTGAGCCACTCGTCATTTGAAATATCACTTTTGTTTTCTGCTTTTGAAAAACTATTCCTGAATATTGATAACAACAACAATGTTGTTATGTTTTTTAACAGTAAGTGGCATCACGTTACAGAATAGATATTCTTTTTAACTCTTTTTCTTTTGCCACTTCACAAGCAATAAATATTGTGATTGTCTCAAATTGCTTTGCATATAAAAAATATAAAAAATAGGCTATGTTAATGGTTATATTAATCAGTTAAAACCGAATAATATATTTAAAATCATTTCAGATGCGAGAGAACTATATGACCTACTGGTGCAAAGAGAGTTATTAGATTCGATTACTAATCCTCTAGTGGAAGCTGCTGCAGCCCAACACCGTATGGTCCGTAAAAACCAAAGATCGCCTTCTTTAAGGCTAAGGTTTGGTCGTCGAAGTGATCCGGCGCTTTATCAGGTATCTAATAAATTCTGCTATTAATATACTAAACCAATTGTTCTGATAGCGGTCATTCATCCTACCACGACCCTTATAATGGACGTGTTGTGTCGCTTTATTATAAGGCGAAAAGTAATGTTCCCATGTAATGCTAGATTTTGTTACTTGTTCACTTCTATATTACCCTACTTTATTAAGTTTTATTTCATGATAACACGGAAATACATCACTCGATAACTCTTATTTGCTCTGCGCCGTCAAATAAACATTATTCTTTCACGCGTTTTATGTATTTTTAAATAAAACTCTATTGTATTTTTACAAACGTCTGTTAGATATTACATAAATTTCAATTACCACATCTATCAATTAATAAATTACCGCTTGGGTCAATAAAATCAAGAAATTAAACAGTAGACTACATTTGAGGTAATTTGATGGTCTGTAGAGTTATTCCCTTTACAACTATTATTAAATTTATTATTTTGTTTTGTCTTAATAAAACATAATTAATTTTTTTCATACATCAAACCGCAAAAAATATAACACATAACCCACTTGAGAAGATAAAAGTTTGAAGTATATGAAAAATAAAGCTAAGTAAGGGAATTAACTTGTTTAATAAGTCTCAGAGTAATACCAAGGTTTTAATATTTTTTATTAACAAATATACTCTCAGGAGACATTAACAGAACAGTTCGGTCGTAAAATATGTATTTCAATTGGCTTAACTTATGAAATTGCTATACTTACTACGTTAATAAAAATTTCTCTTTAGGTATAACGTTTAAATCGGAAAACAACAACCTTTAAATTACTTAAGGGGGAATAACGAAAATTCATTTTATTTTTTTACTACACAATAATTTATAAGTTTGCAAAAATGAGTCTGGAGTATTTTTTAATTATTGAATCACAAGTTATGTAATTCTTTGCCATTATTTTTGGGTTTTAAATAATTTTGATTTTAATCTGTTGACAATCGCTGAATAGCTCGGTTATAAGGGAAACATATAACCAAAAAAATTTTCAAGAAAATTTAACACTGTAATTTTGTTTATAAGTAGTATTTTATGACTTTTATGCATAGCTGCATCAACTGAGGTAAGAGGGCTTTGATCTTTTCAGTTAATGAATTAGCCCTTTAGAAATATTGAACGTTCAACGTTTTGAACATGAATAATGTTATTCATTTTCAAAACAAATTATTTTTTAGAATGGAGAGTAAATACAATTAGCCTCACGGTGTTAACAATATTAATTGATTTTTCTTTTGAATATTTAGAATTTGTCTTTAATAATTTTGTGTGTTATTACCACCTCCTCAAGCCATCATCTCCTTGATGACAATTTTTCGAATGTCTGATGTTTACATGTGAATTGTATCTTAATTGAATATTCTAAGTACCTAGTGTGTAAATTTGAAAAAATATTTCATTTTTGAGCGCCCGGAAAACTATACACGTAACAACGTATCAAATTTCAACAGTTATGAATTAAATAACGACTCGAATTTCGAGTACAAGTTATACTAATTCAATGAGAATAGCACATGTACGCAACATAATATCTAGTAAATTAATTTTGAAAAATAATTATCAGTACGACTACTTAACACGTAATCACGTTGGCCGCGTAACTATATGTAACATGACTGAAAAACCAATTTTGATGGCATTCATGTACACTTTCAAATTGCAGTCCGTTATTACTGTTTAAATTAAACAGAGCGAAATGCAATGTTTTATTTTTGCTTGATCCAATAGTTATTTATAGGTACAGTTTGGTAATAAACCATTTCGTTAAGTGTTCCGCTTCTGTTGGCGTCGTTGTCGTGACGTCTATCACCGTACCTACAAACTCCGACCACCGGTTTTGTTATTGGTCACCGCGTTTTCTCGACGAAAATCTCATTACACCGAATAAAGTCGATGTCCTCCGGTCGTTCATCATGTGAAAACACATTCACAGAGACGCGCGTGAAAAACGAGACAACGTCGTTAGTAAATGAAAAGTCGTTTTTTTTCCCCATTCTGTCGATGATAAAAAAAAAGATAAAGTTGTGAGGGCGCAGAGTATCCGTATAGAACGTATTAAATGAACCGTATTGAAATAATACTAGTGTAATCAAATAACACAATAATATAACGTGTGTACTTATGTTGTTAAAATACAACCAATGCGGCGTGAGTGTTGTAAACTAACGGTTTATGCACGATTAGTTTAAAACACAGTTTTGTATTAAGTGTTTTATTTGAACGTAGTGTTTCTTTGTAGCCTACGCACTGCGGCCGTGTGAAGAACATTTTTATATTATTTTCTAGTGCGGCGCAAAACCGTTTTCTATCGATGCCCATAATGTACACAAACGAATCATTACAATAATAATAATAATATTTCATAACAGCACTGTGTGTGCGTATGGTAATCCGTTGTACCTGTGCGGATGTACACACGCGGATCACTCACGAAAACACCATCATGTGTCATTTTTTTCATGCTTCCGTTAACATCGGTTATGCAGCCTTTGTTCGCGAACGTGTGAAAATCTATTTTCTTTGCCTAAATTACTTTTGGAAATTTGAATTTTAGTTGGACGCGCCATCACACTATCTGTTGCAGCATCAAAAACAACACTTTTTATACCTATCGCAACTGACAAATTCACCATAGTGTTGCTACACTTGAGGCACACTGGTCGTACATGAATAGATAAATAATTCATGTAAAATTATGTCTCAGCTATTTTTCGAGTGAATTTTGTTAGTTGGACTTTAACGTTGTATTAGAAATCTAATTTAAATCGCCAACCTTTTTTGATCAAAAGCTATGCATTGCTTTTGAGAAATTTATATATTTTTTACTTAATATAAGCGCAATTATTGAAAATTCTTAGAAATTTAAAATTGAATAAAAGTAGTCTATTGCATTTATTTGTCTATTTGTAAAATGCGAATCAGAACTATTATTAAATATTGAAAGTACAGTTTGAACTGTAAAAGTTATTTTGTCATGCATGTTGCAAGTGATAACAATGTATAATTTTAAACTAGTCATTTCTGTTTACTTATCACATAAGTTATTTAAGAAAAATACTTGGCTGGCTTATAATCTAAAAAACACCACGCTTTCACTTTTATTCACACTTCTTGAAGTACACTTCTAAGTGAAATAATATTGCTATAAATACAGTTTTAAAGTTCAAGACTATGACGGTTCAATCATCAATACAATGATCTTTTTTGTTGTACCATAAAACTTTCATAGTAATGACTATTTGATTACCAGTGTCAATTTTTACTCCAGTAATCGTTACTTGAAATGATATTATTTTAACATTTTAACAATTGAATCATTTTTGAAAAATTGTATAATTATAATGTAAAAAATAGGTTATTAAATTAATAACCTGTGTATTTATACCAAATTAATTATTCTTTAAGCGCGCTATTATTACTTTAATATAATAAAAAAAAAACGCTCGTATCAATAATTACATGTTATTTTTATTGTTTATATTTGGTTTATCATAATGTGAATTTTAATGAGTTAGTGGTGTTTTCGATAAAAGCTTACTTACTGCATATGTCACAAGTTACTGATGAATTTGTTATCCATTGTGAATACATATCGGTTTTGACAAGTAAGCCTATTTCAATAAAATATTTTCAAACTAACTTTTGTCTTGCACTCGTGACTATCATGTAAAACTTTTCACAAAACTTAACCATAATCAATACCATTGAGTATGACAATTGTCAGTATATATAAAACTTACTGTAAATTCTATTTGCAATAGGATATTCCGTACAGTTTTTAGCTTCGATACGAAGCTGATAATGTATTAATTTTACTATGAAGTTTTTTTTTTTATTTTTTATTTTTTTGTGTCTGTTACTACTTTTTTTCAGCTCTCACCGAACCGATTTATTTCGACGATACGTCAAAAGATCACAAATCGTATCTAGTCGAATAAATTACCCTCAAAAATTGAAAATTTTCCCTCGTTTTCCGTAAAAGGGGGAAATTTCCAACTTATAAATCATAAAACTAGTAATCAGGATATTAATAAGGAAATAGGAGATCATGTAGCTTTTGGAATATCTACCAATTTTTTTAAATTAAACACTATACATATTTGCATCGAAGCGTTTTTTATGATAGTGATTTTAATTAATTTACTTGATCCAACTATGCCACGTCCCCACTGTGTTGGGTTTTTTTGATTTCAATAATAAATTCATTTACTTTTCGTAAGTTTTTGTAGTTTTCACTTAAAACAATAGTTTGTTTGCTAAAATTAATATTTGCTAGAAAAGAAAGATCAAAAATATGTCATAGAGTAATCTTCTAATATTTAAATTAATTTTAATAAACAACAGCATAGTTTGTGTTGTATATGTGTAATAACACAATATACTTTCTTATTGTTTTGTGAAAATTAATTTTTAAACCTATTAACAATGAAAAACGAGTAGATTTGGTAAATTTGACAAGGATAGTTTTGAGCTTATGGAAAACACAAAAGTATGTTACGATAAATAGGTTTTAGATTGAGTATTTTGATAACTCTGCTTTACTTTACAAAAATAGTATGACTAGTGGACAATAAACAATGTAATTATGATTTTCTTTTGAAAGTAATGTAATCTACCAAGTCGTACGTAAAATCCAATACTACTCAGTTGTCATATAATATTTGATATAACATTTGTCTTTCTAGTTATAAGGTTTGTACGTTTCATAAGAGTAATTTTAATTTCGTTGAGGAAACGCCTATAAAATAAAATATTATACCATCTCATTTAATTCTGTAACACCATAAGTAGCAAAAATATACACATTTTTTTTTATATAAAAAAGTTGATCAAAAAGTAAATTTAATATATTAAAACTATTTAAACTAATTTCGACGGCATATATGCGATATAGAGCAAAAGTAATTTACGAAAACTGTTGAAGTAAACTTCCAACAAATATTGTTTTAAAAATAATTAAATATATATTTTTTTTCTTAGAATTAGTATTTTAGTCCATCAAGGTAAAACCATACTCATTTATACGCATAATCTATTATTCATTAACTATTTTTTATCATAAATAATTTCGCTGTTGTAGTTTTAGCCCGTTTAATCAAATTCAATAAGTTAAGTACTACTTATTAACGTTAAATTGTTTTTGTATCTATTGTCAAAGGCCTTATGAAACAGTGTAGGTGTAACTTCTCAATAATAATTATAACTAGGCTTCTGAGAATATTTACTGCATACATTTTATTGGAATTTAAAAGATGTATTTATTTTTTTTATGGTAAGCAACCTATATATTTGTTATTAATCAAAAAATCTCATAAGAACTACTATTATATAAATTATATGAACAATTTAAATCAAATATAATTTAAAATAATTAAAAATCATTAAACTATAAATAAATAATTAAAAATATAAGTTTAAATATACAACTAAAATATATAAATTTTGATTAAGTTTTAATTAATACGATTTTACGTGTTGTAGAGAATTTAATGAACTAATTTTCTGTTACATTATCTCAGTATGTATTCTAATAAAATTCAGCTAAATTAAAATGAATTAATTAATTCTAAACCTTTATTTACTATAATTGCTTAATATATAAATGATATATCTTTACACATTGATTTTTTTTTTTAAGTAATATGTTTTTTCATGAAATTTAATATTTTTTCAGCATCAGCTAAAATTTGTTTTCGATTTTTATATTATAATATTTATACTAAAATTTTGGTAATAAATACTAAAATAACTTCTCAAAAGTATTAAATATTTGTATTTATTTGATTTATGTTTCAGAATGCCTTTTCAGAAGAGAATCACAACGACGCTGAAGTTAATTAAAAGAAACTCCTAGTTAAAAAAAAAAATTATATTTCCATCTGTTTATGCTTAAATTAATATTCCATTATATTGTTGGGTTATATCATACTTATTATCATTGCTTTATGATGTTAGAGTTATCTCCAATCTTTGTATTTATTTACAAATTTCAATTATTTTGAGATGTAAGTTAATATAACTAAAAATACCTAGTACACATTCAAGTTTATGAAAGATGTTTGAAATTTTGTTAACAGTACCATAAACATAGCGTGTACGATTTTCTTTTTAAAATCTACAGTAAATTTATTGCAATGACACTATTTTTAATTTATCTTAGTTAAAATAGTTGTGTTTTAAAAATGTTCTATAAAAAACAAATATTTATATTTTTAAATTTGCGTTAAACTTCACTTGTTTATTTAAGTCAATATTGTTGTAGAAATTAAATAAATAATTTAAGAACAATTTTAAGTTTTACAAAAGTCAATAAATTAATTTTATCTTTAATAAAAAAATGTTTTAATATTTAATAAATTTGCTTTCCTGTTTACATTTATGATGTTATCAGAAAAAAAATTTGTTTTCTGATAAAAAATTATTGGATATTATTTTTTTTATATTTATGAGTTGAGATTTTTAGATACTGGAATTGAGAATGCGAGTAACTTTATCATACATTTTATTCAATTTATCTTCATTTAGTCATCAATCAAAATATAGAAAAAATAGCTCAAAATAATAAATTGGTATATGAATCCTTCAATTTTTGGTTTGTTATACTTAGTATTTTATAAAATATAAACTAAATGAAATTTACTATGCACAAGAGCCATATATTTTAAATAAACTAACACTACGATTAGTATTTTTTATGCTACAAAAGTTATTTTGTTTAAATCCTTTGTTTGAAAACTAAGAGTGAATAGTTTCAAATAACCATTTGACTCGTTCTACGATGCCTTATCTTTATTTAAGAACTGCTTCTGAGAAAGAATTTTTCAATTAAAAATAGTGAAAACATATTGTTTTTAATGTTTAACGTCAACTTATCACTGACACTGATATACAACCATCAAATGAAAAAAGCAACTCGTAAAACTGATTAAACCAGGAATTTTAAAGTTGACGACATTTTTTCGCTTGGATTAATGGGACACTGCAATAAATACCAATTGAAGTTATCTATACGTAATCTTATAAATTGCTTATTTACTTGAACGTCAAAAAAAAATCTTTATGTTTGTAACTATTATATTTTGCCTAGGACCCAATAAGATTTTACTCATCAATTTATATAAGTCTAACAATAATGAAAGGTATAACCAAAACTTCATTAATTACTTCTGATTAATCACTCGGTTAAATTAAAATTTGTGGTATATTATTCTCATGCTGTTAGACTGAAATGAATGACAGACAAGTATTTTTTATGAAGTCGCTTTACAATTGCACGACAGAAGAGTTTATGTGTGTTTGACCTCTTTTCCCTAACAGATGATTTTAAAAGATTTTCTCAATATATTAAGGGCGGTGTTACAATATAGTAAACATATTTTTACAATTATATAATTTTATATATCTAAACATTAAATTTTTATATTATGAAATTACTATTTTTCAACAATTTTATATAATTACTGCTAACAAAATATAAGAGAACTATTGAGAAAATTTTTTTTGGTTATGGGAATGTTCTTAAGAATATGCTACTGAAGATTATATGAGAAGAATATAAAAAAAGGATATTTTCTTAAAAATACATATTCTTGGAATGAAAAGGTTTAAATTTTTTTAATTTTTTAGAAGAGTAATTTTTAGTTCAGTTTTTATATTTTTTGTCATTTTTCAATAAAAATTATTGATATTTTTATTATATTTACAGAATAATGTACATAATGTAATGAATCTTAATTATCAATTATATATTAATAATAAGCTGAGAAATGATAAATAAATTATTGGGATATGATGAGATATACATTTTTTATTTAAAACAGTTTTATTCTGTATGAAATATTTTAGTCCTTAGAACTTATTTAACTTGAGCAAATTTATGGCTTTGTTTAAATTATACCAAAATTTATGAATATGTTAATAAATTCGCAATTACCATTAAAAAATATAGTTTAAAATAACATCACAAAAAATTAACATGTTGAATTGTTATTACAATGATGTAATTATGTACATGATCCATGATTAATATTTAATATTCTATTTAAAAAATTTATCAACATTCATAGATATATTAGCATAAAAAAAAAATAAAAAATATCATATGTGTTGTTCAAAGACTAAATAAATAATAACCATTTCAAAAAAATACTTAACGCAATAGAAAAATTTCCAGAAAAAAAAGTATAACTACTGATTACAGGAAATATTGAATAGTTACTATAGAAATATTCTTCGATAGTTTTTTTTAATATTGGATAGTTTATGCTAAAATTAAACTATTTGATTATATAAAAAATATCATCACTCATAAAAGGCCCATCATTAGTAGTTTCGTAAAATGGCCTCAATTTTGTAAATTCGAAAACATAAATTTGGATAATTGTGTATATTATTGTGTTTTATTTAGAATAGACTATATATTCAATTCCGTTTGATTGAATTATATCTGAAGCTAAATGATAAATATTGTGTTGAATCTTTTGTTTACTTTGTCTATCTTTAAGCGTCGCGTTGAAAAAATAATTTTATGAAGGATAATAATTGTTAGCTTTATTTCAAAAAAAAAGAAAAACTTTGTAAATTTTACTAACTGTGGTTATTAAATAACCGTACTGAAACTTTTTATTTGTCACCAATCACATCAGAAACTTTATTTCGCCTTCATGTACTTCTCTTAACGATCCTTACAAAGTTCCATATGACTTCCATTGTAAAATATAGTGCTGAAAGTCCCCTTCCGTCAGATAGTTAACACTCGCTATTGATTTCATCACTTTTACAATTTCAAATCTTGTCCCCCATAGTACCAATTCGAAATTTGGAAATAAAACAAATTCGCAGGGATAAGGTCGACTAAGTAGATGTTCCAACAAAGTGATACCATATTTTGCAAAAAACGTCCTTACAGACAAAACAAAATGAGTTGGTACATTGTCTTAGTAAAGCATCCATAATTTGATCAGAAAAAGATTAATATGGTTATTTAATAGCAACACCTCGTATCTNGAGTTGGTACATTGTCTTAGTAAAGCATCCATAATTTGATCAGAAAAAGATTAATATGGTTATTTAATAGCAACACCTCGTATTTATACACCTCGTTATTAATATATATTTTTTTTTACCAAAAAAAGAACTATTTTTGATGACGAACTTAGTTTGTGTAGTTCTTGTGCGTTGGCACAATTATATATTCCTATCACACGGTCCTGTACGAATATTTCGTTCTAATCAGTATTAATAAATAATCGTAAGTGTTATTTATTTTTTAAGTTATTTTTTCATTAAATTTTTTATTTATCCTTTAAATTTTTAGGCTTATTTATTTTAACTTTTTTGGCAGCTTTTTTTGATTTAGCTAAATTTTCATTTTTTTTTGGCGCTGTTGCTTTCGACTTAGCCTTAACATGGCGACTTTCATTTTCAAAAACATCCAACTTTTGTTTTACAAAATTTTGGAGTTTAGTAACGTCATATAAACCTTCGTATATTATGGGACTGCCATTCAAAAATAGCATTATCGTAGGAAGTTTATCAATTCCGAACGTTAGTCCAATGTCGAAATCAACAGTGCAGTCTACTGCAGATACAATACAACGTGCTTTATCCATTTCAGATGCAAAAATAGCATACAGCTTTTTGACTTCCACACAAGCGTTGCACCCTAAAAACAAAAATAAAGCTTATGGACTAAATAGTTTATTTTAATTAAAAAAATAGAATAAAAAAAGGACTAATTTTTTAATTAATACTTTATAAACTTGTCTGCGAAAAATTATATGCTAAATTGTTTTAATTTATAAGTATTTCTCCCTCTTATGCAATTTACTTAAATTACGCTTAGACAATTTAGTTCGAAGTGATAAATTATTTCATTCGATTCCAAAAAATATTGGAAACGTAATAATTTGTCAAATTGTTAATGATATATTATTTTCTTAAATCATACTTAACTAACGAGATAACAAACCGTATGGATAAGACTAATACATAGTTTGTTAAAATAATTGCTGGAGGGAGGGCGCAATTTATGAGGAATAAAGAGACTAACATCAATCAACTCTCTTAATCGTGAGAATTATACAACCATGTAGTTTTGTAAGCATTCTACTTAATTAATATTTTTTAAACAATCTATCCAATAAAAGCAATAAAATCGAGGTAATTTACATTTTTTCAGGTTTGAAAATTTCTAATACAAATTATACATGGCGCCTCCTTCATTATCCAATCATTTGAGATAAATAACGACTTCTATATTTTAAACCGAGTGTAATATTGCAAAACTATGATTTTTTTAAGAAAGTATTAAAGAATACTCATGACTATATGGGACTATATATTTTTTTCCCCATTCACTTTATATGTTTTTGACATTTTAAATTTTAATCAACATCTGTTTTTAATTTAATAAGATTTTTACGCCCAATACAATAATCCGAGACGTGTTGTCTTAAACACGTAGATGATTGATCTAGTAACTTGACACGTTTCGCTTTTATTTATTTTCAATGAACCAGTAACACATATAAGCATGTAATCTGTTTTATATCTACTTGAGAGCTAAATCCGTTTAAAACCATGATTGAAATTTTCATTATCAAATGTGACAATTTAGGAACGTGCTTCTTAATAAATACTCGTACAACAATTTACCACACTCGTTTGTTACTCGAAAAAATAATTCAATTGACAATTTAGAAATATCTATATACACTCATGTAACAGAGGAAATATATAGAATAAGTGAATTGTGAATAGGTCAATAACGTCGAGCAAATTCAATCAAATTGAAAAATTATTTTTATTATGACCTAAATAAATCATAAATAATTTTATTTATGTATTGGATGTGGTTTTGAATACCAATGCAATATTTCATCTTACTATATAATGAACATTATTTATTGAATTATAAAATGATCAGAATATCACTAAAAAAGTCTTAAGATAGAAAAAAGCTAATATTTTGTATTGTATAATAGTTGTTTAAATTGCTATTTTTAAATTAATAATTATATAATTATTAGAGGATAAAGTATCCTGGGCCGCATATGAACAATTATCAATAAATTATATCAATTTACTCTAATTATTAGTAAATTGAAAAAACACTAAACATCTCTTATATATTTTAGAATCTAAACGATTTGTTGATAATGAGTCATCTTTACCCCATCATGCTTCATTTTGACCCGGATTACTCTATAGAAATATCACAATCTGTGGTTTATTTTTTATGAGATGTAAATTACATCCACATTATATGTGATTCACACATGTTATCGTTTCCGTAACTCAGATTTCTATTTTAGATATCGTACATACTTATTTCTGTATTTTAGTATATTTTTCATATTTTTGTGATATACAGTTCATTAGAGATCGAATGATTTACAAAGACAAAACAACTGCATACATCAATAAATTTTCGCGAACTTACATTTTGCATGAAAAAGAATCATAACTGAATGATTAGTATAAATAACTTCAAAGACATTTTTGTCGTCCAGAGGAAGAACATTATTTCCATAAGGCACATCCTCCCAGCCGGTTACGTTGGTAGCCTTTTGTACGGCCTGCACAAATTTCAAAAAACTACTATGTAATATCTGTAAATAAAGTTAATCTTAATAAATTATTTGTATAAAAGTATTTTTGTGTATAATTAATTTAAAAATACTTTCCATGTATCTAAATATATAATCTTTGTGTTTAGCCTAAAATTTTTATTAAGCAAGTTAATTTGTTACGTACAAATTGTTGATTTAAAAATAATTTCAATTTTAATTTAAAATTACAGTAATCCACTTAATTAAAACGCTTAATATATAACTAATAGCTTTAGAATTTTGTTTTGCTAAAAAAAATCTCGTATTAGAAATTAAAAAGTTAAAGTTACTATATCAATTATAAGCATTCATTCATTGCTAATAATAGTTCGTACCATCTTAAATCGTAAACATATTATCAATATATGTAAAACTTTCACTTATTTGTAACTATTTAAATATTACACATTTAAGAATAATGTTAGGTAATTTTTATAAAATATATGTATTTTAAGATGCAAATAATTATAGGACACAGTATTACTGGTGTACAGTTGATATACACTCGAACCATACAGACCAATAATTAATTCGAAAATAAATGTAAATGTAGTATTATCTTTTTACGAAAAGATAATGAATAATAATTACTGATAGTTATTGTGTCTATTTAAATGAAACATTATTAATAATCACCGTATGTTTAAAAAACTTACCTTCTCTTTGCTTGAAAAACTAGAAGTTTTTGAAGACATCAAATTAATGATATAAATTTGAAGTATGTTTAGTTCGTCATTGAAAAAAAAAACAAATGAACTGTTTTGGTCGAATATACATTTTGTCACCTAAGTAACATTAAACAAAATTATTATTTGTAACTTGGATAACAACCCGTTCTCCTCTATTTCATCGAAGAAAAAATGCTCCATTTGGCAGTTTATTTTTTTAGCAATTATATAGATTTTCACTATTAATGTCAACAAAAAAAAAATAGCAATATTACAGTCTATTAATCATAAATACTAACCGTGATTATTTTAAGTGAGTAGCATTTAATATTAAATTATTCGCGTCTATACTGTAAATTGTGTCCATTGATTATTAACATTTTTTTTTAACGTTTTTTTCTTAAATATATTTATGAGTATTGCACTTCTATAGATGTATCAGTTTGGATTAACCATTAACAGTTAACCTAAATGAATTAAATTTCTACATAAAAGTTAATATAAAGTGGTGGTTAGCTATAACCAAGATTTAGCATAAATGAAAATAGAAACTTTAATCTGTTTTGGATATGAGCTACGAATTACAATAGGCACCATTTGAATCATTTTTTAAACAATTGCATTACTATGAATTTGATTGGAAACTAAAACTAATCATGAAAATATGTTGTTTTGTTATTATAGACATTCCAAACAATTCACTTAATGTATTCTTGTGGTCTATTCTACATGAAACGAGATATTAATATTCGCATACTGTGTATCCTAAAGTATTATATTTTATTTTTCAATTTAATGCACTATCTTCTTATGAATAACGTATTATAACTTATTTAAGTTCGGTTAGTTATTTTTTATAATAATTATAGTTGTATTATGGTTTTGATGAATTATAAAATAAATTTTAAGCAGTAGTTGTTTAATAAAAAAAATATTTATCCCATTATTCTACCTTGCTTTTATATCACCATAGAAAAGGGAGTCTTTATTTAAGTCTAAATAGCTCAAATCAGTGACGTATCAAAAATGTGAAAACAATTAGTTCCAATGTTATCTGTCTATAATTTCTCAATGCATAAACATTTAATGTAATAAATAAATTTCATTTGTAGCAATAAAGTTAAAGTAAAACAATTGTATTTGTACGAATTTATCTTAATACTAATGTAATAATTATACAAAATACAGATATGTTGAGTTTTTAGTACAAATTTTAGTATAATTAAAGAAAACAATACAAACTTCGAGTATTCCATCCTGAAACTAGTACAATCCGTGGAACAATATTAATTACTTTAATTGTTCGTTTAAACTGCACAGTTAAAACTATTAGAAAGTTTTGTAAGTGAGCCAAATAATCATTTGCAACATTTTCCGATTACTGCTATTAAAACCAATGATTGATAATGTTAAAATTTTTACTCATACCGAATCATAAAAAAAATTTATCCATAGTAATCATATGTCGTTTCTTAACACTAGCACATTTGTAACAATTAAATAATTACTCCATTTCCCCTGAATTCTTAATATTACCATCATCACTGTAAATCCTGTACAATTAAAAATGTACATATATACTGACTTTCCACAACACCATCGCAACGTGTAAGTGAAATTTCCCACCGTTAAATGAAGTAGGTTGGTCGCCATCAGTATTATTAAAATACTATTTTAATGATATTCCACACTGTCGTTGTTAAAAGTTATTTGGACACCGTAGAAATACGATCTACATGGCCATGTCAATAAGGTACCACATAATTATTCGTTAAATACAAATGATTGATGGCATGAGTTATAAATCAATTATTTCTGGGAAACGATCCTTGTTATTTGCAATATACATTTAACATCACATCATTATAACTTTTAGACAGAGAAGTAATCTCGTAAATGGAAATAAGAACTTCATAATAAGTCGAAAAAAGAGCCCATTACTATTTAAAATTGTAATTTTTTCTAAATAGAATAACTTAATACGGTTTTAATAAAATTTACGATATAACAATAAATATTTTAACTATACTTTATTAAAAATTTTATAATAAAGTAAATGTGTCTATTATCTTTATAAATGTTTTAAAACTAAAATAGAAAAAAAAATCCTAACAGAGAAGTCTAAATTGACATAAAAGTAATATATTGTTTGTCCTATTTAAAATATCTAACATTTTAAAACGTTCAATGGCTTTATTAAAAAGTAAAAATGTTTCTAATATCAATCGGGTAGTTTCAAAATAGTTAGAGCGTGTAAAATAAATGTTTGTATCTACATATAATAATAATCTTTTATTTTATTTCAAACGAATGATGTCAATATCTATATATTTTTTAATAAAAAATAATAAGAATAAAGAATTGTTAAAGTAATAAATAATGTTAAAGTTATTTTAACGTCATAGACGCATGAGATCAGTGTTGCGACTATTGTATTGTTTTTTTTATATATTATCTTCTTAAATCTATTCACCCAGAGTTCTTACTTTATAAATACTATATCCGCAAATATTGAAATCGGATTTAAAAATTTCTTTATTCTTATTGTAAATGTACGTTAGAAAAATGTATTATTTAAAGCTCTGTTATAATACGTTAAGTGTATGTTTGAATTATTTTGGGGAAACGAATACACTTCATAAATGTTAAGAAGTCGAAAGAAAACGCATATTCAGTGTATATAAACTGATTCCTGTTAATTAAAAAATAATAGTAAGAACTATAATATAAAAATAGTGACCTAAATGTATGCATATAAGAATAGACAATATAAAACCGTGGGAATGAATATGACTTCTTATAAACAGCGCAAATCATCAATTATATGGAATGTTTTTAATTGACAGACAGACTGAACATATAGTTTAATGAATAAATCAGTCATATTTCACGGATTAATGGCTTCTTTATTGTCACAAATGAAATTATATAAATATAAGACACTTAGTAAATAATTATAAACGTCTCTGTAGGATAATTTAACTTTTTGATTTTAAAACAGATGTGACTGAAACTTCTTAACAACGAGGTAATTTCAAAAGTATAATTAATTTTGTGTTCAAATACTATAAAACGTGTATTTTAGTTTATACTTTATAAGATAAAAGCTAAGTAAACTTAAACAATCAACTAAAATATAGTTCCTCAAAAATACCGTGATTTTATTGACGTCAGGGAAGAATAATTTTTTTTAATGAAAAATTGCATTATACATAGTATATTTTAATGTATAATTTGTTAAAAATGAATCTATATAAGAAAAAATTATTAGACTTGATTAAAAAATCACAATATTTCCAATGATATAAAACGTCACTAAATAGATCTATTTTTCATACAGGCAGTGTTGTACCAAGTAATAAAATAATAACCTTTAAAATTAATTGTTTACATCAACAATTTAATACCACTATAAAATAATTTATATAGATAATGTTGAGAAGTAAACGCATCACCTTCAATTCTCAAGTGTTAATTTCTCAACAATAAAATACAAAACAAAAAAATCCCATCATTGATGGACCTTGTGTTAAATGTTTTGTGGAGCGGAGAAGTATTTAATGCATATTTTTTCCCCTTCTCTTTTCATTAGTCATGAATTGTTGAATTTTTTTCTTTTGTTAATTCAAACATAATTGTATGTATACTCTAATTAGAAGATCAAGCAATGGATCCTTTTAGATCGCGGGAACGACATCCCTATAGTTATACTAGAGGGGGTAAAAACACGTGTCATTGATAATATAACCGGTCATTTCCAGTTTTTGGGACTAGTAGGCATGGGCATACCTGTTTAAATACTCTAAATTGAATCCCCAATCTCTATACTAAGTGAGAGACTTGTCAACGAGGTAGTATACCGAAAGGTGAATTTGACATTTGGGAACTTTTGACACCAGGCGCATCATAGAGTATATAGCCTTACCACCGTACCGAGTACTGCTGTGGGGACTTACTCGGGTTCTTGTAGGAACAGGATGAATATACCGCAAGGGACAACCTTGAAAATCAGGTATTCAATTAAGGAAAACTTATAAGAATAAGAATGAAAACAACGAGGAACCATAGGAAAATATTGGATAATTTAATACCTTAGTGATGCATATAATGATAAACCACACTAACAGTGGGACCCTTTATAATATATCATATATCAGTAAAAACTAAAAGTCAACAAGCAGAAGAAGACTCAAAACTATCTTATGAAAATAGGGATTTAATTAAAGAAAATCTGTACGAACAAGAGTGTTAAAACATAAAAGTTAGTAAATTACACTTTGGTGATAAACTGATTTTTATCATAAAATTCAGTATGGAATTTGCACAATGGACTATAAGTTCTGAGTACATGGACAGTATTATTCCTACACTTCTTATAACTATAACTAAGCAAAACTGAATATTTTAAAAAATAACATTATATTTAATAAAATCTTTATTGATATTGATCCTATAAATATTTTATTAGTACAAAAATGAAAAATGTGCAGGATTATAAGTATAATTTATTCAACAAAAACTTTGTTGTTATGACAAAAAATAGTTTTATTAAAATAATATTTTGTTAAACCAGTATTTTTTTTTTATTTTCTTAATAAATTAAAGTAATGGCATAAGAGTATATTTGTTCATATAATTTATTGTATGATATAGTAAATAATTACAAATTATCACCTTTAAACTAAATGTATAAGAAATTAAATGCACGTTGATTGTTTAATGAAGTTTATATAAAAGTAATAATTTTATTATAATAGTACTACACCATATGTGACTAAAAATCTTACTCAAGTAAAATCAATAAAAACTATTGATATATCTTTCATATATTTTGAAAAAATTAAACGAAAAAAAATGAATATCACTTTTTTTTAATTATTTAAAAATTAGGATATTTTAGCTTTTGATACACGAGGATCTAGAGATAAAAGGCATTAAAAAATATATGATTTTTTGATTATTAGCTTCAATCAAAGTATAAAATATTTTTTAATGTGGAAATGAGAACCATCAATTATAAAAAAGCCATATTTTTTTTTAGAAGATAGGATTTTATTTTTAAAAATTCTAAAGAATTCTTAAATTATAAGAACCATCACGAAATATTTATAATAAAATCATTTTTAATAAAATATAATTAGATAAAACATTAGTTTCAATTGATCAAATATTTAATTAAATAAACAATTTGTTATTAATAAAATTTTATAATTATTATTTATCAAACTCGCGTCACTTATAAGCAATCCAGTTCATTGGTATTTATAGTAGTCCAGCGATTTATTTTAATTTGAAAAGATAAATTAATTCTTAAATATTTTCAATTCTTTGAAGTTTCATAAGCTATTACAATCTCAAATTATCAAAATATTGTGTTTCCGATAAAATTAAGATTATTCAGATTAACGTTTGAAGCAAATTTTGAAAAATATCTTTATGACTAAAAACAATGAGTTTTGGTAAGTATAATCTTAATAAATCAAAATAAATATGTTAAAATATATTTACAGACTCGATGTAAAGTTAAAATATTTTGTGATAACTAATCTTTAGAATTTTCTGTTGAAAATTTTGTCTTAAGAATAGTTTTATTTGAATACAGAATTTTTAACAATTAGTGGGTCATTTATTTATTGAACCGCCTCAAACAGTGAGCTTATAAAATGTAGATAACGAATAAACCTGGTTACCTTTGTCAACCATTTTATAACGCGGTGTATTAGAATCGACACAAATCAGTTACTTTTATTACAATTTACAAAATTGAATTAAATTAGTGAGTTTTTTTAAGTTCACTTCAATGTCGAGGAAAACCATTACAAATGAAATTGTACATAAATGTTTGGTAATCAAATACAGTTTTTGAATGCAGTAATTACTTATTAACAAAAGGTAAGTAATAAGTTATTAATAAATTATGAAGTTACATATATTATAGATTATTGTCCATCGTCTAGGCTGAATAATGTATTCATATTTAAATATATATGAATGTATAGACATACACCTAATATAATGACATAACATAATATATTATGTTATGCTATTTATTTATAATATATCCATAAGATATTCTAGATTGACATTCAATTGTCGACTAACCATTTTTGAAATTTTAAGATTTAAAAGTTATTAATTGAAAAAATCAAACCAGCTGTGCAAAAATGTTGCTCATATGTATGTGCCATCAAAGCGCAGTTAAATATTTTAGATTGGAATGATTAACTGGGGAATTCCAAAATATTTTGAGGTGACCTAATTGAGATGTTCTTTACTACAATGAAATTAATTTTATAAATGTATTGATTTAGTAACTTTTACGCCTACTACTTATGATTTTCTAAAAAAATGATATAAGTAAATATTTTATTCATAGAAGTGATTATATAACTTATTTTATAATATTATTATCATTATAATAAGTGATATTTTATTGCTTGTATTAATAGAAGTGAATAGAAAAAATTTATGAATCGAAAAATGTACATTAATATTCTTTTTTAGTCCATATTAATAAAACAATTCTCTAAAGCTTTAGAGAGGCAAATTTTCTAAAATCCTAATTGTATTTATAGATATAAAAGAAACTTAAATATTAATACTTGAATAATAAAATAATTCAATTTATTTAAACTTGTTTATTTTAAAATATTGGCTGTTAAAAAGGGTATTTTTTTTTTTTACAACCGTTAAGTTGCTTAATACCATTGGTATATCCTAGGGAAATTTAAGTGCAGTGGTTTCCCATTGCCTTCTGCACTGGGAACATTGTGCTTTTTCGCCACTGTAGAAGCGCACGCTTGGTCACCCATCCGTTCACCTATGGCGGTTGGTGCAGCTTAACACTAGTTTTGTCAACAACTAGTGTGATCATCGCGCCACACCACGCCCAAGGGTATCAAACTCAAAATTTTTCGAAATAAAAAAATTATAGGCAAGCACGTAGTAGGCCTCATCCAACATGTGTATTTCCCAAAGGATCGTTGCCGATAGAATATTACTTTATTCAAAAATAGAAGAAAATTAGGATTTTCTTATGTGTTTATTATATAGTCTACATTATGAGATAAATTTCAAACTTAAAATAAAATATATTTATGTAACTACATTTTATTTTTTTTTAATTTACATACATATTTAAAAAAATATTACATTAACATTAAGAAATTTTACATTTCTCATTAATTAATGGTTAAACAACTTTTGTAGAAATAATTAGCCATCTTTAAAAATTCTTGTCTGTAACTATGACCTACTTTAATATTTTGATTAGTGTATAGTTTTTAGTGTAATTAGTGAATATTATTTTCAAATTAATGAATTAATATTCACAAAATTAAATTAGTTGTAATAACTTGTTTAATCAAATATTTTGTATTTATCATAAAATATATTTTTGAGTCTGTTATGAATTTGAAAAAATTAAATAAATTTACATTTTGCAATCACAAATTGCTAACATACGTATGTTAAAAAGAGAATATTAATATAATCTAAAAGACATAAATTTTTCAGTTTTAAAAAAATACGTTTTATATTGGATTAGTACTCCAATGAAAGTTACAATATATCAAAGTATCAGTCTTAAATAAATAAATTTGCAATTATTTGTAGCATTACACTCTTTCTTACTAAATGAATTATGTCTTACAATTAATTTTATTACTATTTTCTTTGGATTGACAGTAATATTTACAGCGTTTTTGAAAATGTTTCTGGAAACAAGTTGCATTATTCATTTTCGATTGAACTATAATATTATGCATATAACGGAAATGCACATGCATGCAATAGATTGTTTTATTTTATGTATTTTCACGCACGTTCGTTATTAACTCTTGTGTTATTTTCCTTTTTACATTTATGGGTACTGGTTGTTGATCGTGTTGTTTTACGACTAAAGTTGTCTCAAAGTGATTCCCGGAGATGACTCGGCCGGTTATTAGGTCTCCAGGTCTGCAACTATGGGATATTCTTCCGGTTATATTAACCACATTAGGATAGGTTATATTAGGCCTATGTGATTTGTACACGTCATGCGTGTATATGAGACTACTGCAGGTCAACTGTTGGTCACCGCGGTTCCAAATATGCGCAGACCTCCTCCACCACTTGAGTAGAGGTCAACAAGCAGTACAAGCGGCACGATAGTTTAATTAATAAAAGCGGACGTTGACAACAGAAAAGTCCGGCACGGCGTTTACAATAATGGAATTATATTGTATATGTTTTTCCCTTCTCCGACCATGTCCGTCTGGCTGCATCTGATGCGTTCGCTGTGTGTACAGTACTTCTCGGCCGTAGTAGTTGTAGCAGTTATAGTAGTCGCATAGTAGAATAGTAATAGTAGCCGAAGAAGAAGTAAAAGAGACGAAGAAGGAAACGTGGTGAAAGATCTGTGTACGCGCGCGGTGGATTGAGGTTAACCTCATTCGTTCGTTGGCACAGACCGCGACATCATGTCCGAATCGCGCGAGTGAATCAACTTGCTGTGTGATTTCGCATTTCTATCGGCGGCGATAATAGAAACACTACCGACTAGTAATTATCGTTTCAATTGATTTTTTAAAAGATTATTTACATTTTGCGTTTATTGTGCGGATAACACACTCTTAACGGGTTTGATTATTTTCATTCTTGTGCGTATAAGTGTGCGAATTAAAATGTGCAATTGGCTATAGTACAAAATGAAGTTTGTCGTCTCGACGGATTATGATCGTGTGATAAATTGTCTATTGTTTTTTTAAGTTTTAATTGCATCAGGTTATAAGTCCTATATAGCAACAGTAACAGACAACTACGAAAAAAATGTCTACGAGGCGCAAGAAGCTCTTGCCTGCCAGAACCATAGCCCTTTTATTGGCTACCATATTCTTATTCGACTGCTTAGTTTTTAGTTCAGGTGAGTAATAACCTTGAAATAATTTGTAATTCAAATTTTTTTTAAATAATTGGGAACATCACCCAAAACATTTTTTGACTACGAACAAAAATAAATTAAGAAATAAAAATTAGAAAACTAAAAATAAAAATTTTTTTTTAAAATTATTAATTTAATAATCACATTATGGTTAGCAAAAGTTTGATTATTTTAACGAGTTTCGACATTGATTTAGCAAAAGTTGTTCAAAACATTTTTTAGGCACCAATTATAACATTTCAATAACACATATTTTGAATTATACTTATTGAACTTACAAAATTTTATTGTAATATATGTCTTCAACAATTTTTTGTTGTGTTAGATGTTTTTTAAATTTATTAGTAAAAAAAACATTTTTTTTTATGAATATTGTACTACTATTAAACTTGAATATAATTTTGTTGACAATTAAAATATTTTAATTTACAAATATTATTGTATATGGATAAGGTTTCGACCTCGAAATCTATAATTAACTCTATGTTACTTAACTCTAAAACATTAATTATTACATTAAAGCCGGGCGTTGAAGTCGCTGGAAGCTATTGAATTTCTATCCCAACCAATGTATTTCCTTTTATTCAGAAGTTTCATTGTATAGTTTTTTAAGACTACGAGAACGTTCATTTCGGTGTTAGTTTTATCTATTACAATTACAGATTTAATAACTACTGTTGAGGAGTCTTAATCTCTTGAGAAAGCGTTTAAGGATTATCTTGCGACATCCGATATTGAGCCATTCAACTTCCCTTTCTTTGGAAATCATAATATTTATCATTGTTCGGCGCTATTCTATTAGAACGTCAACGCCGCCAACTCGCTAAGACGCTTTATGGTAAATGATACACAAGAAGAATACAATAGGTTACAGTAAGTAGTAGCAACGAAGGTCGATTCCAAACAAATTAAATACAATGGGAGCACGGTCAACTAAAACATAGGTAAAACTGAAAAACAATACTTTCATTCGTGTTGGCCGTGTATATTTTTAACATAATAATATAATAGAACACCTTATAAAATAACGCCGCGTACATTGATTTTTTTTTATTTTTCAAAGTAGTCGTGTATTATTGCATTTTAATCGTTTGTCATCCGTCACCGTGCCATAAATATACATAGTTTTTTCGCCGATAAGTCTATCATAAGTGAATACGTACTCTATTTCTTAAATGCAATAACAATGCTGTTGTCTAAAAAAACAGTGCGCCGTCGGTGATTGTCACGTATGAAAATATAAAAAGTAAAAGTGCATTGTATTATAATAATTCGCTGGAAACGATGCAGATAATAATAATAACAATTAATCAAAACGAGAGTGTAAGCGGATCACAGTTTCGGGAAGTATTGTTGCGTCGTTACGTTTAAGTCTTCTCCACACCAAAAATCTACGACTAATCGTCTATCATCGTGCTCTGTGGTGAACAACAATAACATGTTGTTCGTAGGGCACTTTCTATGGGTATCATACATTTCGATTCAGTAAAGGAAACCTTTTTTGGTTCCAATAGAGAATGTGCCAAAGAAATAATTTTAATTTAAGAATTAAAAACAGGGACACTTATTTGAATTCCATTCGTTGGCAGAGAAAGTCATTGCGCAAAAAATATTTATACGATCCTGACGATTAAAACCAATGACTCGTTGAAAACAAAACTATCAGCCAAACCCTCAAGCCTTACATTTTAAATAATGCGCCTATATCGTCACTTATACTGCAATAGTACTATTTTATTAAAATGTATTTAATTTAAATTTGTTTTTTGTTCATCCTGAAACTTAAATAGCTGAGATAATGAGTATAAACAACAATATGCACATTTGCTATAAATGGAATGAGTAACTTTTTTTTTTTAATGCTCATTTCATAACTTATCATCAATTAATTACTTTACAGAACTTTTGTCGAGTCATTATTAACCGTTGAAAAAAATACATATTTTAAAGTATTTAATAAAAATGGTTTAGTGTCATTAAATATAGCAAGTGCTATATTTTTTATTCAACTATTTTACTATTTTTCTAATTTAAAGTAACCAAACATTTCAGAGTTATAAATGATTTTTGCAAACGAATAAATATTTTTTATCACAATATGCATAGTACATAGTGTGTATACATACTTACATTCTAGTGGATTATTTGAAAAAGAATGTGGAAATCCATTTTTTACCAATATCGTCTTAATATTATATCCAGTATAATTTGCTAAAATCTACTTAAGTAATTTATCAATTATAATTCTGGCAAAACCATTTAAACCCTAAGGGAATAGATCATCGATTTGTTGTTCTGCCAATCAATTAGGTCTTTTAGGCGAAAGTTGCTTGAAAATCATAAAAACCAGTTGAAAGTATAATACTTGAAATATTTTCGATTTATTTTAGCCGTGAATTCCTTTTACAACAAGACATGTGTGTAGTTACACGATCATTACTCTATATTCAGATTTGTCTGCGGATATAAACGATAACTATTTTGGTGATTCGATCGTGAAAATAACGTCAGAAGGGGCGAGAGGAGAAAATAATTGGCGAATGACGGACGTGGGTTACCATTCGACTTGGAAGGCGTCTGACACAATTTCTTAGGTCGGTCAAAGAGCCGGAAGCCTTCCAGCATACGACGAAAACCAGTCAAACCACACTCGGTTTTGTGCGATTGCTTTTTGCCGGCCCCATCAACATTTATTTATAAGTTTTTGTCGGCCGCAATCACTGTATGTGCGCTAATTCAGTTTATTTGTATTAAAATTTTTGCTACTTTTCACGTTTCAAAAAATCTTGAGGCTATTCAGGTTATACCGCGTATCAACCAGTCTAGCCCATCGACCGGACAATTATTTAGTATAAGAAGTTATTTTATGATTTTAATATTTTGATATTTAAAAGTTTATATTGATATTTTGAGGAACAGTATTGATATTTAAAAACCATATTAAATGAACTCTCTTGAATGAATACTACCAAACATTTAACGTTAGTAAAAAAGACTCGAACGACTGTTAATGATGTGTAACGAAAAATATTATTAACATTTTTACCAATAGAATTCTCAAATCGAGCAGTCGTAGTGAAAATAAATTATTAAAACGAATATTAACCGTTTGGTTACCAAATAGATGTAAGAAAGTTTTTTTAACGAGATAGAATGCGAGTTTAATGAAAATATAATCCTAATTACCAAGTAAATCTATGTATTACGCTGTAGTCATTGCTTCAATGAACATGATAGAAAACAATAATTATGTAATTTTGATGGGAGGAAATAAGATTAACTGATCGTATTAGTATTGACAGTAATTGTACTACTTGTGTCTGCAACTTGAATGTGAACGTAACTTGTAAGGTGACGCAATTTAATAGTCGACAAAAATAGTTATGATCTAAATTTTAAATCGGTAAAAAATAATTTTGATTCAAAGGCACAGTTTTCTTAAGTTCAAGTCCGATAAACATTTAATTTGTTTAACTTGGTCCGCATGATAAGCCAACAGGTGTCCAAAATACATTTATTAACGCTTAAGTGGTTCACAGTGTGATTTTTTTATTTATTATAAATCTATGAATCCTATTGTAGTAAATCAAACACGCGAACACCACAGATTAGGCTTATACTTCGCAGCGTGTGAGCGAAAGCCGTTGTACTATTGCTAAGAATAATTTACACGGTAAATACGTATATTTTTTAACCGGATGCCGATCAAAAATAACCGTCACCTCTACCTCGGCGACAGCAGAAAATAATATTTATATTCTTTCGCTAGAGTTCAAATGTGAAGCTTTCCGTGAGAGTTATTCATTCATTGCCTGCGTGAATATCTTCTACACGCTGGCCTTGATAAACATTGTGTTTTATGTTCTTTAATCAGAAACGCATTATGAATTTAAATAGCTCTTGAGTGACAAAATCAACAACATCAACTTACTCATAAGTTTTTTATTTATTATAATGATACGACCACTAAAAACGAAACTGTCACGAAGACCTATACAAAGTTGACAACGAGTCATTACTCCATCTGTGTCGTTTGATGAATGTATTTTCTTAATAACTTAACTTGAAAATTTTGCATAGACGAGTGGCATATTTGCATAAAAAAATTTTTCGTTTCAAGAGCACACTTAAAATAATAAAATTCATCTAACTGTAACATGAGCTGTTAAGTTTTATACTAAGAATATAATTTCTTATTATAATATTTTTTTGGTGCAATTAAACAATTCGTCAATTATAAGAGGTTAGTTGTATGAAAGTCTTTGGACGATTATGGGTACGCGATTCTTTTGTTTTAGTCACAAAACTGTTTATACTTCCTGCTCTTAGTGGTTTAGCCCGAATTCACCTACTCGTTTTATTTACTAGGGTCCTTACTATTAGCTTCCTTTCCATTTCGATGGTTTTGTCACGGTACAATTATACCATTCACACGAACGTCATGAATCACATGGACGTGTATTTGATATTCATAAAAAGAAAATATCATTTAGCTCGTGGTGTTCAATAGCTTTCAGACTTACCATAGCAAACAATAAAATACAACATTGTTTTTTGACGGGTTTTCTAAGATATCAATTTTATAACTGACAAAATATTTAGTTTATGTAATGAACGTCGTTTGAAGAGAAAACGACACGGAAACTTCTCTATTAAGACTCGTGTTATAAAAATTAAAATTAATTATTCATGATGTTTACACCACGATTTCATATTTTATATTCACTCAATAACAAAGTTACACCATCGATGTCTTTAACATAAAACCATTTCTTTGTTTTATAAAAATCAAGTGCAGTTCATTTTTACTGGATTAAGTTATATTTTCCAAACAGTAAGTCTAACAAATATTTAATTTATAACCTGTTAATTTACGTACATCATAATCTTTGACTTTAGTTCTATAGTTGCTATTAAAAAGATGTGATTGATTAAAGTGAAATTACCACCTTCAGGTCAACAACACATGCAATATTAACCTT